GTTTTAACCTAATTTTGGACTTCTTTTGCAGATGCTGAGGCCTATCAGTAGAGCAGTGCTGGTGGGGAGGGGAGTCCCCCTGTCACACAGCCATGCAGCTGTGGTAGGGACAGCCTCTGTACGGAGAGACTTCCATCTCTGTCAGGTCAGTGGGAACATTACTGTAAATCACTTCATGTTCACTGGAGCAAAAGTTCGCAGTCTGAGAAAAATGGAGGTGTTCACAGAACTATAGTACCCCTATATAGTCTTCACAAAATTTAATGTATTGAATGACTTTCTACAGAAAAAAAATCACAGCCAATACCAAGCAGGTGCAGCAAAAAGATAGTCGGAGAATTATTTGTTCATGGTTATAATAAGTTTGCGGTACAGAATTGACCACAATAACTGCGAATATAAAAGCACTGTACACTACAGTACAAGGTGTACATGTGTATGGTGTTAGTAGCTCAAACCATAAGTAGCTGCAGTAGGCCCAGGAGGTTTTGCTGAACTGCAGGAGAGTTCTGAGCAGATGCCAAATGTGAATTCAGACAAGTGCCGAAGTCGCCCTAAAATCGGGTTTCGTGCTGAAGTCGATCAACGAGTTCTGAGAGGAAGATTGAAAGAGAGCACAAGGGATGGGAGATTGCTGCGATGAGGGCTTTCCCTGGTTGGTCGGCCGTGTCTTTCCCAACCGGAATTCCTTAGCCTACTGCCAGCTGTGCTCATACTAAAGCATCTTCAATGTGTGATGTCATCTTTTTACCGCCACGTTCATCTATTAGACTTTTTGTATTTCAGGTTACCATCGATCAAGTGTTTTCAAACATTTTGCAAGATCTTTTGCAACTAATAACTCATGAAGGAAAGATTGATCTTTATGTTAAACTCCATATATCTTCCATGTTTTGATAACCACTCTTTTGTTTTCTAGGCAAGACACAACCAAAGAAAAACATTTCTTGGACAGTTCATTGACAACCTTAGGCAGGAAATGACGAAGAACAAAGAAATGAAGGCAAGTTTCATGTATCTTTGTAGTTAAGATCATCATTTTCATCATTTACTTATTTGTGATACCCCAGAGGCAGATTAATTGTACACAGGGTTCGACAAATTGTTTGACAGATATGTATGCATTTTTTTCTCCCCTGTAGGAAAATTTAAAGAAATTTAGAGAAGAAGCACAGAAACTGGAGCAGTCTGATGCACTTAAAGAGGCCAGAAGAAAATATGTAAGTTAAATATTATCTTGCTAGTAAGTATGAATTCCTCCTTTGCCCCTATAGCAATAAAAAGCTAAGAGATCAAATTCAAAATCTTTACTCCTACCTTGGTCTACTGACCAAAATGACTCTTTTTGTTGTTTTTTTGTTATAATTACAGGAGAAGATTGAGGCTGAAACAGCAAAGAGTTCCCAGGTCCTGCAGAAAGGAGTTGACCAAATAAAAGACAAACTCTACGAGGTAAATGTTGTCTTTCTCTGATTCTAGATTTAAATGTGACAGACAGATTCTGTTTTCCTTCTCTTAATAGAAGAAGTGCAACCTTGTTTGAATAATAATTATCAAAAATAAATGTTCATCATACGGTACACAATTACTAGTAGGGAGGACTACGAGTGGGGTGTGGGGAAGAGCAGGGAGGTCTACGAGTGGGGTGTGGGGAAGAGCAGGGTGGTCTACGAGTGGGGTGTGGTCTACGAGTGGGGTGGTCTACGAGTGGGGAAGAGCAGGGTGGTCTACGAGTGGGGTGTGGGGAAGAGCAGGGTGGTCTACCAGTGGGGTGTGGGGAAGAGCAGGGTGGTCTACCAGTGGGGTGTGGGGAAGAGCAGGGTGGTCTACCAGTGGGGTGTGGGGAAGAGCAGGGTGGTCTACCAGTGGGGTGTGGGGAAGAGCAGGGTGGTCTACCAGTGGGGTGTGGGGAAGAGCAGGGTGGTCTTCTTCTTTCATTTCAAGCAAATAAAGTCAATGACCTGGGCCAGACGTCTGTCACCATGGTAACTGGTAATGTAGCAGACACCCTATGCATGGTGTTGGGTCACATTACAGTAGCAGGGCAAAATTGGAGAGCCTGCATATGAATGTATTTGACTTTTGGGTAAGAATAAACAGTGCAGTATACGTAGCTTTATGGGTTAGACCAGGTAAACATTATGCATTTGCTTTGCAAATGTTACCTTTCTACTTGTTATGTATTTTGTTTGCTAATAATGTTCCTTTTGGGGTATTGATAGGGGTTTGAGGAAATCAAGAAGTCTGACATTGGCAAGAAGAGTTGGGAGTTGGGAGAGGAAGTGACCAAGAGAACCAGGGAGGCAGCAGAGTCTGTCAGCAAGCAGACTGAGAACATCAGCAAGACAGCTGCATACAGAACCATCTCTAAAGTAGGAGAGGTATGTCCAGAACAGGTTGTGTTTTAAAGTGGATGTATCTATGTCAGTGATAGGAAATGTACATGCTTCCTGACATGTGATTGGTTAGGCTAAGACCCTCCATGATTGGTCAGGATGAGTCAGCTGGTTAGGCTGAGACATTTTATGATTGGTCAAGATGAGTTAGCTGATAATTTCAAAATGGCTGACCCATTTACAAGCTGCAGAGTCTTAGACAATGAAGAGAGAAAGAGAAGAGTCGAACATTGTAATCTTAGCCAATGAAGAGAAACTCACAGTTTTAGCCAAGGAAGAGAAACGCAATGTTTAAAACAATGAGAGACTCATAGTAAACATACATGTTACAATTGCTTCTACAATAACATGATTGTATGTTGACCATACATTTATATCCTGAATCCAGAGTGTAAAGGAGGTAAAAGAAGAATTTGATGAAAGTTTGGCATCCAGGGCAAAAGTCTACAGACCACCAAGTAAGTACCAATCTCTCTCATATATATAGAGAGAGATACAATGTACATTACATTACTCTTCCCCTTGCTCAGTTTAATCCTGTTTTACCTAAAAGAGTTTGTTTTTAATACATTTACAAGTACACATTGTAAAGGCCTCTTTATTTAGTACATTATTTGTGCAGATATAAAACAGAAAGAAAGCTATGATTGGTTTTAAGGTTTAATGTCAACCACTAATTATTTTCCACAGAACAACTGAGGAAGAGAAAAGAATTTCACATTGAAGATTTTATGGAGGAGAAACCAATTGAAGCAAATGAGTGAGTGTGAGATCCTTATTCTCTATTCAGGATTTTTACCTGATTGCAGTTTAACTTTTTGTGTGTAAAAGAAACTCTGGTTAATATGTTGAAGTAAGGTATGTGTCTACAATGTATTTGCTAGCCTTGCAAAAATTGTAGTATGTCTCAGGTTAAATCCCCAGCTGAATCATACTAAAGACTTAAAAAAAGGAGTATACTAAAGTACATACTGCTTTCTCTGTGTAGAGATTATGAGAAAGAATACATGTAGACTAAGTTAAACATACCTCACTACCAATGGACTAGCACAGCTGTGTGGCCCAAGGGCTATGTGCCACCCTATGCACCATCTATAGTACATTGTATTGAAATGACTTCAACTTTGTGTTATCACTACAATTATATAGACCAAAGAAACTTCATGAAATATACCAACTGAAGTTGAACACTTTCATGCTAATAGACCAATTTGCTTGCAGCATTTCATTAGAATCAGTGGAATAGTCTTCACATGTCTCATTGCATTATTCATTCAAATACTTGCTTTTTCCCCTGCCTTTAGAGAAGCCACTGGTGTTGTCATGCACAAAGAGTCCAAGTTCTACCAACAATGGAGAGACTTCAGAGACAATAGTCCCATAGTTAACAGTACGTATCTGTACACCTAATCATTTGGTAAGGAAGCCTAGAGAGAAAAGCTTAGACTTTGTTTTACACCTCCCAAAGGTGCCACATTTGCCAACGGAAGGTTTCAAAATCTTTAACCAGTTTTACCCTCCTATTTTGTCATTGCCTTATTCTAAACAAACTGTCATGTACATGTACATGTACGAGTTATACAGATAGACTGTCTGTTGTAATCAATTGCAGGTGTTTTAGTAACATGTTTGTAACATTTTATGATTGCAGGAGTGTTTGACCTTAAGATGAAGTATGATGAGAGTGACAACGTGGTTGTCAGGGCCTCCAGACTCATCACAGACAAAGTCGGAGACCTCGTAGGTAAGGAAAATCACATGCCTAATAGCTTGTCGCAATGTTGTATCTTCCCTGTAAGATTTCCATTTTCAAATTGTCTATCATTGCTGTGCTTACATTACAACTTTGAATTGCATGTATGATTACTTGTCATATAGCCTGAGCTGTATTCTTTATTCGATAGATCTCCATTAGTTTGTACAGACTGAAATAACCTATACAAACTTTCTTTCTTTCCTTCTAACTTTCTTTATTTCTTCCCAAGGCAATACCTAATTTGCTTGTTTTTGTCTCTTGAATATGGATATTGATACATGTGTGTATCTATGTATCCAATAATTATGGTTGCACATATAGAACAGACCTGTTTTTTAAGGGAATAGGTACATGGCTTTCCTGTCTCAGAAAAGGAATACTGCCTTTTGTTGCTTATTATGCAGCAGCATTTGTTAATAATAACTCATAATAAATATCCTTTCAGGTGGCTTGTTTTCTAAGACAGAGATGTCTGAGGTTTTAACAGAGATCATTAAAGTTGACCCAACTTTTACAAAGGAGGCTTTTCTCAAACAATGCGAGACTGACATCATCCCAAATATTTTGGAGGTAAGTTTTTTTTTTCTTCTTCTTCATATTACGTGCTTAACCTCAATAGGCTGAGGACTCCAAGCACGGTACGTAGAAGACGTACACAAGACTGTAATGTTTGATCCACTCACACCGGGAAGATCCCCTACTCTTTTTGATAAGTGTGGCGGGTTCTTTAGCGTGCTCGAGGTGTGGCTCTCCCCAAACACGGGACCTCCATTTAACGTCCTATCCGAGGGACGTCCCTAACCGAAGCTAGGTACTCATTTACACCTGAGTGAAGTGAGGAAAGTCGTGTAAAGTGCCTTTCCCAAGGGCACAAGATCGGTGACATGGGTGGGGATCGAACTCGGGACCTCTAGGTCCTGAGCCGAACGCGCTACCGACTGCGCCACACGACCCCACCATACTTTTTGTACCATATTTTGTTGTGCAGAATACAGATAAGCCCATTTTCATGATTGTCAAGCACCAATACATTTGGGGGCTCCCCCCATGAAAATTCCGAAATCTTGACCCTCTGAAATGCTTTTTCCTTTAATTTGAGGGACAAATTTTCCCGGTAGACTGAGCTTAGTTTAATGGCATCTTTTTCCATATCTATTTTACGTCAATTTTTGTCCATCAAAGATGACAGATGGGAAAGATTTTGTCTGTCACGCTGCCTAGAACTGTGGAGTCTATGAATAAAGTTAAAATCAAGCTACATTGTATGCATCAATTTTTTTTTTTTAATTTCTTATAATTAAGGCAGCATAAAGGAGGTTGAATAGCAGTTATCATATTACTGCATATGACACCATCTATAGATTGAACAAACTACAGTGTAGTTGAAATGCCGTTTTCACATTGTGATTAATTTGTTAGATTTGGTGCATGTATCATTCTTTTATGACAACTAACATGAATAATATTGTCAGACAGAGTTTACTACAACTACAAAACTGATTTGATGATGTTACTCCTACAGGCCATGATCAGAGGAGACTTGGAGATTCTAAAAGACTGGTGCTTTGAAGCTGTGAGTATTCATGACCAAAAATTACATTAAATTTTCCAGTTTTTAGTATACCAATTAGATGTCTTTCTAGAAAAATAGAGTAAAAAATGCCAGAGGGAGTGAACAAAATGGGGCATGGTGCAAAGTTTTAAAAAATTGTTGTGAAAATTCTGTGAATTCCTGAGGGTGAAATCATGGTAGTCAAGTTACCCTTGAACACTGGTTGCCCATGCCTTGGTATGGTCAACAGTGGTCACTCTGAATTTTCCACCTTATTCAGACTATTCCTCTAAAGTCCTTATGGTAAGAGGGTACATGCCTAAAGTATGATCATGATGCACTGCCCCTGTTTAGAACTAAAAAATTGCTGGTATACAATATAAAGTGTTGAAGACCTGTGTTATAACCAAGGTGTACTGTTCTCTACCCTTGCAGCCCTACAATGTGTTAGCCACCCCGGTCAAGCAAGGAAAAGCTCTGGGCTGCCACTTTGACTCAAAGGTCCTGGACATAGACAATCTAGATGTGAGTTGTGAAATTTTATTGTCTTTCACTGCAGCAAAGCCACATATGTTTACTGAGGAAATACTCTTTTTGACAAAAGGACTAACATTGACACCACAGCAGGTCATAATTAATTATTGTGTGTATGACATACATTTTGTACCAGTGTTTTTAATTCATTTATAACTTTGTATGAGTGGTGAAATGTTGACTATCAAAAGTGTAAATGTAATTGTGAGCAAAACACATGCAGTAGGTTCTGCCCCAGAGGTGTTGCCAAAAAAATGTGTAACTTGTTGTTTCCTTGTCTTCGTCAGCTGGCCACAGGTAAGGTGATGGAACAGGGTCCAGTCCTGGTCATCAGCTTCACGGCACAGCAGATCATGGTTGTCAGAAATGCCAAGGGGGACGTCACAGAGGGAGACCCGGTCAGTACAGCACTACCGTACTTTGTTTCCGCTTGTTTGTATACTGTAAATCACTGTCTTTATGTTTGCAGTAGCAAAAGTTCACGGTCTGAGAATTATTTGCTCATGGTAATGAGTGGTAATGATAAGGTCACTGTACGGAAGTGACTGCGAAACCCGTGACTATAGTATAAATTTTAAAGTACTGGCAAAAATCGTGATTTATGTATAGTATCTCATATCCTTATACTAAATTATTCTAAAGTGTTGGTCACCCAGTCTGTACTTAATGTTATCTCTCAAAATACTTTATGTACATGTATGCTGAAGGTATTTTGTATACTTTTAGATTCTCTATGCTGGTACTTACATTGTACTAGTGGTACTAGTTACTCTGCATAGTCCTAAACTTCTTCTACATGTAACTTACAAATTGTTGCAAGTTTGTAAGTTTATTGAATACATGTTGTTTTCTGTGATTTTTTTGCTTGAAATGTTTCCAAACCGTTAACCTTGTTTATGTTAATATCCGTTTACAGAACAAAGTTCTGAAGGTGATCTATGTCTGGGCGCTGTGTCGGGACCAGGAGGAGTTTGACCCTCGTGCCTCGTGGAAACTCATGGACCTGTCTGCTTCCCATTCTACACAGCTGTTATGATGACTACACACTGTCCTGGCAACACCATTCTCAGAATCTGTACAGTTCATGCTGGTAGAGTGGGAGGGGGGCATCATAAACATTATACACTAATCTTGCAAGCCATAGAAACAAGACCCTTTAACATAGCTTTAAAATGTACATTCCTGTTATGCATTCTACAAGTGATGTCATTATTGCATGTCATTTGCTACATGCACCTTCCATTTAATGTAGTATGAATATGTGGCAGATTGAAAATGAAAAGTTTCTGCGCTACTTTTATATTTGCAGTTTTTGCATTCACTTCTATACTGTGAATTTAACCATGAAGAAATACTTTGCCGACTTTCTTTTTGCTGCACCTGCTGCCACCACGAACATGTCCATTTTTTTCAGACCACAAACTTTTGCTAACTGTGAACATAAAAGTGATTTACAGTTGTCTTATAAACAAAAAAGTGTCTCCATTGCTGGTTTATGATACAATGCTGAGCTTCCCCATGAAATGCTTTTACTGTTTCTCCAAAGCCTTTGAGTCCGACAAAAAAGACCCATAATTCTAGATGATTTGAACAAGGAGTGTTTCACATTAGGATAGTCTTGAATGTTTACCTTTTTATTATCAAGAATTAGGGGGCCATTATTAAACTAGTCAAAGCCACAAAACATTTGTTCACAACTGTAGAAAAATAAATTTGTGCCAAAATACTGCATACAAGAATTTGTATACAATAGGCACAGAGTACCATGTATGGTTTTCGTGCTTACATGTAAGTCCATTTTTGGCAACACTTTACTACAGAAGACCACCTATAAAGTTACAATTCTCACATTTGAGGTACTAAGCATCATAGTTATTATATATTATGATCATGGTTGTTGATTCTGTCATTAGCTATATGAAGAAGTTGTCTGTAAATGTGTTTTAACTCAAATCTGGAATTTTTCTGTCTTTCTTCTCTGCTCACCAAATGAAGACAAAACTAGGTAGAAAAAGAAGCAACAGGGCCCAGCACACTCATCAAAGAGTAGGGATGACTATACTTGACTATTATAGCATTAAAAAAGCCTTAACTGACTCTCATTCACCACATTCAAAGTCTATGATTTGCCACAAAGAACCATAACCAATGTTCAGAAAGCTTTACATCGCAAAGCACTGTTTTGTACAATGTATCTCAGGCAGGGGTTATGTATACTGCATGTTCTCAATTCCAGTAATGTTTCCCTCGTTGCCCCGCAGGATTTGGGTAACCAAATTTATTGCGGCGCTAAAAACGTACGTAAAGCCTGTTGAAACTTCAGTCACAGTGTTACATGTACCAATCTTCCCAGGATTACCCCATCCAGGCGACGAATGTGCTGCTGGTTTCTAGTTACCTGCAGGCAACTTATCACAGTACTATATCTCAGAGGGTGGGTGCTCAAGTCTTGGCCGCAACGTAAACCATTAATCCAAAACGCATTGCACTTCTGTTTTGAAGTGCAAATCATTAAGTAAGATGTTCCTACACCTCACGATAAAGAACTAAGCCATGGATGTCAATGCAATTAATCTGATAGCCAATAGGAATGACCCAAATAGATATGTGTGAAATCAGATATATTCGCCAGCAGTTGGACGAGTATAGTACTATGATATACTTGTTAGCTTATATGTATGAGTTATGTGTCTCTTGTCAGATTATCTGACGCCGCTAGTAGCGTCAGACCTTAACAACGTTATCTCTTGAATCCCTGAAACCCTATTGGACTACATATCATGTTACTATAGAATTTATGGGTCTACCGCGATGTAATTTTTTCCCCTCGAAAGTACAAGTTGTTTCATTTATGGTTCAGGTTTTACGTGATATAGAAGTGTAAAATTGGCGTCAAAAGACTGATTGGAGCCTCAGCTACATACGTGCTGTACTCCGGGCTGATTTGTAGGTGGATCAACTTTATGCACCGCGTGACTTAGTGTGGCGATGCTGTAAGGTACACTGTGGTGGCGTGCGTCCCACGAAAATGTACAGTACGTAGTGGATGCATCTGCGAAAGCGGAGTGCTCGTGTAAGCATGCTTCGTACGTGGTGGCAGCGAGGAGTTCCTTAGTTTTTAAGGTAAAACAAACATCTTAGTTGTCATATGAACGAGTGACTACATCCGAGGTCGCGGCAGTTTTGTGAGATGAAAAGGCCGAATGGAGCTCCGCCGACCGTTTTTTTTCCAAGCGACAACCACAAGCGGTTTCCTTGTACCTATATCGGGTTCTGACGATTCTGTTCTGACTGAATTTGACCCACGGAGACTGGAGTAACATGGTCTCGACACCGGCCTACTGGTGAGTGAGTTTATTTATTTCCACCCCAATTTAATTTGTTGGTTCGCGGATTCACCCGCTTCATTTAAATTCAGGCTCTGGCTCAGACTCTTAAGTGCTCATATTTTGGCCCCCACAGTTGAAGGAAGTTGTTACTGTAACAGTTTTCCATCTATCAATGCAGTGGTCTGATTAAAAGTTTAAAATTCATTGTTTGAATTACAAACCAGCCTGGTATGTTGACTTCATGGCTCCTATCGTAGCATTTGAGGCTATCATAGGATGCCTAAGACTAGGTCTGTTTTCATGCCCTATCGCTTCATATTTTCCCCCTAAAAAAATCCGAGAACCAACAAATCAAATTGATGTGGCCCTAGATAGATAATCTATGAATGAAATAGCGTAATCTGTACTTCTGACGTCATATATAATTGCATTCAACTTCATTCAACTTGGCATCATTCCAAGTGAAACAATCCCGAGTATTAATAGAGTCATGTCATAATCAGGACGCCATCGATGACTGGAGACTTACTGATACACAGTTCTTATCTGTAGTACGTAAGAACAAACTCAGTGAATATTGGCTGTATGTTAACATTCTCTTAGCATGTTTCCTTAAAGAGCTAATCTCGATAAAAGTACCCTAGCTTCACGCCTATAACAACATCTGATTTATGAAATTGATGTGTGTGTATGTGTGATAACGTTACATGTATATTGCCGGAAAACATAATTACGCCCCATAGAGAAAACAAATGGCTATTATTCATTGTAAGGAATGTGATAGTCTGCCAAGATGAACGTTTCTTCTCTTGTTCCATTATAGATACGACAAATAAAACACTTCCTGAAATACTAATAATGATTCCTGTAGATGATATAGTACATGGGTATGGCGTCTACAGCAGGCTGGCCGCCTTGTGTGCTCTGGGCTATCCGACTGTCTGTGATGAACATGGTACTTCCAGCTTCAGGAGGAACTCAGAGGTAGGTATAAACAAATCATATAAACGTTCCAATTTAGCGTGGGTTGTTGATCCAATGTACCTGGAGCATGATACCGCTATTGAAATATGGAGCCCATCCACTTCACAACGTGCATCTTTTTTTTTACAAAACATGTACCTCCCCAACCGAAATCAAGTACCCATTTATCAATTACATGTATTATTATTATCATTATTATTATCAATCATACCCGGGGAAGGGGCGTGAAGAAAGCCATGTGACTTTCTTAAGGATTCAGGATTGCCAGAAATTGAATCCGTGACCTCTTGATCTAGTGTTCGCTGGCCTAACCACTAGGCCATCGACGCTCAACTCAGAGTTAAGACAGGCTAAAAAAAGAAAATAACAACTGATAATATCGTAATAATCGTGATAAAATGCTTGCTTTACTGTATACAAAAGTTACTCAGTTGTGTTACGACGAAAATGAATTGTTTCTATTCAAAAGAACTGTTTGTTTATCTGTCTGTTTTTTTGTTTGTTTGTTTTGTTTTGTTGTAACTTCTTGGTCCGTTTCTTACAGTGCCGTGGAGGGACAATGGAACATGACATCGACCATGGAACAACTTCTGCACGGGTACGACCGCCGGACTCGACCCAACGTCACAGGTACATGGACGGTCGATGTTTCGTGACAGTGGGACAATGTGTTGCGATATTTTATATGATAGGGGAACCATTTTGGGATATTTTATGAAAGTGGGACATTAACTAGTATGAGATATGTCTTATGATAGTGGAACACCATTTGAAGATATCACCATAACGTAAGGCTAGCATTCTATAGACACTTGCCCATTGCATCTGCTATAGCAAATAGATATGAATTTTAACATTGTGTTTTTGTAGATATCCAATGAATTTTGAGCTTATGTTTTTGTAGAGTTTGTATTCATACCAGACATTGATTTTGTTCTGAAGGTGCTGCGGTCAGAATCGGTGTCGTCATAGACCTCATTGGTATTGACAACATTTCCGAGCTCGATATGGTGGGTGTCATTTGTTTCCTCATATTCATGATCTCCATAGCATAGACCGAATGTGTCTCATAATTATATGTTCTCCTAACGTTTCCCTCCTTTGTTGTCAGGTTAATATAAAATTTGGCACGTTATTATTCTATGCATATGCACAACGTGATTATTCTGACATTCTTAAAGGTTTTTAAAAGACTCACTTCGGTGGATTGATTCTTTTCATTTTCAATTGGTAGAGATCTGGACTATATAGAGCGTTTCCATATCATTGAAGTACGTAATATGTACATGTAGGTGCTGACCGCCATTTTGGTGTCCATATTCGCATTTCAATGCATGGTTTGTAACTCAAGCGAACACAGTGTGTTTCATCGCCAAGTTATCAAATGGCGTCTGGTATTTGGGAAGGTCGAAAGATCTTGAAATGCCCCCAAAACGCTTTTAGCTATACATGATTTACTGAAATGCAAATAGGGACACCAAGATGGCGGCGGATACCGCGATGACGTCACGCGAGGCTCGTTGCTGTTGTTTGCTTTAGAAATACACGGTAACCTATGACATCCGCCAGTCGTGGGTTGACGAAAGGCTAGACTTCCGCCGTCTTTACGACGGCAAGAAGATGACTTTCCTCGGCGAAGACACCTTGAGGATCTGGCGCCCGGACACTTTCATCAAGAACGGACAAGGGTCACGGTTCCATGACGTCACCAAGGACCAGCAGACAATGCACGTGTTTCGGGACGGAAGAGTGCTTTATAAGTTAAGGTACATGTTGGCAACAATTCTGATCGCTAAGGAAGGAAATACTCGCTTTACCGATCATTTACCTTTAGTTAGCATTTTCAACAACAAATGAGAGATTTCAAACCTCCGGAAAATGTTTTTGTGAATTTATTGGCACAACCAAAGCGTCCTCAGTTTAAACCCACGACCTCCTGAATGCAATGATATAGCGAGTACTGCACCCACTACTAGTGCCAGGCTATTACATCGGTCTCGACGAAGCTTGATGACAAATTTCAATTTGAGTCTTCCTGATTCAGTCCATGTTCTTGCTTGGTAGGCTAACTACCATCGCCTCGTGCTGGATGAAGATGCACCTGTTCCCGTTTGACACTCAGAACTGCACCCTTCTGTTTGAAACGTGTGGGTATACATGACTTTATGTATTATGAGCATTGGGATTTATAACAGACAGACTATACGTTTTCTTTTGTCCATATTTATCTTATGCACACATTACCAAAAACGTCTACTATGTACGTATTAAGAAGTACGACTAATAACCTCGTACAATGTGATAAAAACATTATCTTTGCTCACACTCTACATATATAACGTTATATATAATTAGTCTAGTAGTACCATAGAGGCTGATAGTTAGACGTCTCTTAATCATTTTTAGGTATGGTGTACTAACCTCCAGATAGGAAATGTGTGTCTATTGTCATAATGTTAAAGCAAATGTATGGAAATATGCACCACAAATGGAATATAAATCAGCATAATTTGTCCATAAACAAGGTACTACATATTAAATAGTTTAACACACGTTTCCGTTGTACAGATGGTTACACTACCTCAGACGTAGTTTACTACTGGTACAGGGGAAGGCAGTCCGTCCGAGGCTTCCAGAAAGTCAGACTTGCTGATTTTATGATCGAAAACTTTGACTTCCTCGCAACTACATCAACATACAGCACTGGTGTGTATCGTTTATATATATATATATAGATGCTCTTACAAAGATACTTCTGCGTAGTTTGAAGCCTGATTCGATTACTTTAGTCGTTAGAGCGTTTTTACGTTTAATACGTCAACGCTTGTTCATCCGCCATGTTGGTGTCCCTCTTTGCATTTTGGGGAATCATAGCTCAAGCATTTTGAGGCATTTAGGTGTCTACAATTCAATAAAAAAAGAAAGTTGTCGATAAAGCAAAAAAACTGCGTTTACTTGAGCCATGATCAATATAGAATGCAAATAAGCATCACCTACATTTTATACTGAATGATATACTAAGTAATTGATATAATGAACAATGTCATGTTTTCCATGTGGTCTGACCCCCCCCCACACACACACCCACACACCCACACACACACACTCACACAGCAAAGCAATTGCATGTGATTGTTAAACATTTCTTGTCCTTTTTTTTA